TTATTTTAATTAATTATTTTATTACAAAAACTCTCACTTTATTTTTTAACTTTTTTTAAGAGTCATATAAATAAATATATAAATTATCTCAAAATGTTTAATTTAAAAAAATTAAAAAATAACAATTACTTTGAAATAAAAAGAGTATAATTTTGTTTTCACAATTTTTTAACAATATAATTGACTATTTAAATATGTGAAGCACAATATATATATTTTGTCATTTAATATTTTTTATAATATAATTTAGTTTTCCACCTAGTACTAAATAAAAATGGTTTAAAATATTTTTCGACCTCATAGTGTGTTTTAGTTATATAATTTAAGAGACTTTGTTGGACAGTAGTCGATCGTCCATAGAAGCCATAACATTCCAATTTGTTCATTGGTAGATGTCAAATTATGAATAACTTTTTTTTTTGGTTGCATAAAGGAGATCATCTCTCATATTTATTTTACCTCATTCACATATCATGTCACTCAAATTTAAAATTTTTTATTTTCAACAAAAAGAGACGATCACTGCTCGTTGACCAAATCATGAATAACTTAAAATGGTGTTACAGTGAATCGGGCTTTTAGACCCAATGGTTCAACCCCAAGCCTTAAGTGCTTGAGTGAAATGGTTGGAGTTTCGAACTCAACCACCGTCGTGAACTCCACCAAAAAGTGACCTCGCGCGTCTCATTTGAGGAGGTGGAATGTTCACTCTCGGTATGAGGACCAATTGCTAACAACTAATTCATACTAACTTTCTAACCATTATCATTGTAAAAAATAATAATAATAAAATGGTGTTCTAGTTGTAATAAATTTAAGACACTATGGGTATAATTATAATAGATGAAGGTATAAGGTAGCTAATGCAAATCCACTTTGAATGGGAACGCATAGAGACGTTAGGTTTATAATTATATATTATATTATATATATTGCCGGCGTCTCTCTCTCACACTTACGCTACTAGTACTTATCATCCAACAAAGCATAAACCACAAACGGCATATTCTACCTTTTCCATAAACTGCTCTCTCATCCCTCTCCTGTTTAATCTCAACCTTCTTGTTTTAACTCTGAAGAATTCAAAGTCTTTCCACTGAATCTGCATACCCATTTCCTAAAAATCACAACTTTATCCCAAATCTTGTTATCCCAATTGAAATCCTAAATCCTTTTCCTTACCCACTTTGTTTTCTTTTTTCTCTTTTATCTTCTTTTCAATTCAAACCAATTTTCTCCCACCCCACTCGTTTATTTTTTTATTAAAATCTTCGCTACCTATCTCTGATTTTCAGTATTTTCGGTTAAAGAAACCATCTTTTTCCACCCTCAGTCACTGACTTTTGATGCTGGTTTTGTCATCTCAAATTTTAAATCTTTGAATTGTAATATTGGTTCAGAAAGCTTTGATCTTTTGACCAATGGTGGTGAAGATGATGAGGTGGCCGCCATGGCCTCCTATTATGTCAAGAAAATTTGAAGCTGTGGTTGTGATTCACAGGCTGGAAGGAGTGAGTTTGGTGCAATTTGATAAAGAGAAGGAATTGGATGGTGGGAAGAAGAGGCTGGTGGTTGAGGTTAAGTGGAAGGGTCAGAAAAGTTTGGGTTTGGGTTCATTTAGGCGCTCTGTGAGGAGGAATTTTACTGAGGAAGGCGGTGTGCGTGGTGATGGGGTTGTGGAATGGAATGAGGAATTCAAAAGCATCTGCAATTTATCAGGGTACAAGGAAGGTGTGTTCTTTCCATGGGAGGTTGCATTTACAGTATTTAATGTAAGTCTAAGTTCTTTGCTTTTGATTCTTGTGCCTTTTTTTAGGGATTTTGATGATTGGTTCATGTATTCATGATATTAAAGGGCTCGTTCATATTTTTTGGAGGGTTGACTTTTAATCAGAATCTGTCAATTGGGTTGTCTTAATTTGAAATTTTTTTTTTTCCTAATTTATTTTTTAATTTCAGTCATGTTGCCTGTTGTACGACCTCTCAGCTCAGGTAAGGGAAAAGTGATGAAAAAGTTGTTGTTTCTTTTTTTTTTTTGTTTTTTGGTGTTTGCGTGTGTGTGTGCCTCGTTTACTATTCTCCTTTTTGATCGGCAATAAGAATCTCATTTAATATTCTTGGCCGGCTGAAATGTAGATGCTGAAACGGAGGAATAGATAAAGTTTGATTAGTAATTGGTAAATCACTGTTCCTGTCTTGCACTGCAGGCTGAAAATGACATATTTCAGCAAGCTTTAGATTGCACAGTATTTTTCCTTTACAATTTTCTTTTCTTTACAAAAATGATAAACCAAGGGCAGTGACTAATGAAGTTTATGATGAAATTAGAGAGTTTATCTCTATTTCTGTATTGTTATATGTGCCCCCTTGTCAATTGTTTTAATTGATTTACAGGTTATCAGATTTTGAGAATACGGGAAAGCTTCTTTATATTTGTTCTCGACTTTTCGACTAATTATATTCTTGTTCACCGTTGATTTCTTGAAAATGACATGTTCTTTCCTTTCATTTGTTAATTTAGGGCTTAAATCAAGGACCAAGGAGCAAGTTAGCTGTTATTGCAACAGCACTCTTAGACCTCGTTGAATTTGCCTCTGCAGCTCAAGAAAAAGTGCTTGAAATCAGTCTCCCAATGGCAGTGCCTGGTGGCAGCTTAGAGGGTGATCTTTCACTTTGTGTAGGTACCTTTGACATTTTCTCTTGATTTTCTATGACTAGAATTTGGTTGGGTGATATTGAATCGTTGTAGAATTGGAATGTGTTACTGATGCCAAGCTTGGTTGTATTGTAGTTGTCTCTCAGGTTAACTGCACAAGAAACTGTACAGGCTCAGCAAAGATCAGTAGTGCCTGTTCCCTTGTCACCCAGTTATGCTGAACCTGTCTCAAAAGAGAAAGACGATCTTTCTGCAGTTAAAGAAGGCTTAAAAAAAGTGAGGATTTTTAGCGATCATGTCTCAGCCTGGCAAGCAAAGAAGGCATGTCAGGAAGAAGAGAGCAGTGATGGTAGATATTCTGTTAAAAGTGAGGGTGCTGAGCTTAGTGATCCTTTTGATACAGATTCACTTGATGGTTATGCAGAAGGAGAATCAGAGGGGAGGAAGGAGGCTTCAGGCACTCAGAATTCATTCGGTTATGAAATGTTAGCCTGTGCAAACTGGACAGGAGTGTCATTTTACTCCAATATGATAGTCAGTGCTGAAGATGAGAGTTTGATCTACTACAGCCACCATAAATCAGATGTAGGTCATTCACATGTTGAGAATTTAACCATATCTGTTTCTGAGCAGTCTTCAGTTCTGAGTTCAAAGAGGAAGATCTTACCTTGGAGGAAGAGGAAACTGGGCTTCAGATCTCCCAAAGTCAAAGGGGAGCCTCTTCTCAAAAAGGATCACGCAGAGGAGGGTGGTGATGATATTGATTTTGATCGCAGACAGCTTAGCTCCTCTGATGAGTCTGGCTACGGGGTATGCATCTGACTTTTGTCAGTCTCTTCTGATTGCCTTTTACTTCTATTTTACTACTATAGATACATTACTTTTCGTAATAGGAAATATTACTTTTGGTTTCTATCTAACCATGGCAATTGGATTGGCAGTGGTATAAATTTGATGGCTCTTCCATGACTCGATCTTCAGACTCAGAATTTGGGGATGACAATTTTGCTGTAGGCATCTGGGAGCAGAAAGAAGTAATAAGCCGTGATGGGCACATGAAACTCCAGGCTCAGGTCTTCTCTGCTTCAATTGATCAAAGAAGCGAACGTGCAGCAGGGGAAAGTGCATGTACAGCCCTTGTCGCAGTCATTGCTCATTGGTTGTTATCCAACCAAGAAGAAATGCCAAACAGGTCTGAATTTGATAGCCTGATTAGAGAAGGATCCTTAGAGTGGAGAAATCTCTGCGAGAACAAGTCCTATATAGAGCAGTTCCCAGACAAACACTTTGAACTTGAAACTATCCTCCATGCCAAAATACGTCCTCTTTCTGTTGCCCCTGAGAAATCCTTTGTTGGATTCTTCCATCCAGAAGGACTGGAAGGAGAAAACTTTAACTTCCTCCATGGAGCAATGTCATTTGACAATATATGGGACGAGATCAGTAGTTATGGATCCGAGTTGTCTGGCTATGCTGATCCATTGGTCTACATTGTAAGCTGGAATGATCATTTTTTTGTCCTCAAAGTTGAGCAAGATGCTTACTACATACTTGACACCCTGGGGGAGAGACTTCACGAGGGATGTAACCAGGCCTATGTTCTGAAATTTGACAAAGACACTACAATCATAAGATTGCCTGAGGAAGCAAATGCATCAGATGAAAAATCTCCTGTAAAGGAATCTTCTGCTGTAGAGAGTCCTGCTGTAATTGATTTGAAAGAGGATGGAAATGGTGAGATTATACGTAGAGGGAAGGAGTGTTGCAAGGAGTATATTAAAAGTTTCCTTGCTGCAATTCCTATAAGGGAATTACAGGATGATGTTAAGAGGGGCCTGGTAGCATCAACGCCCCTTCATCACCGACTTCAGATTGAGTTCCACTACACCCATTTTTCTCATCCTGTGGTTGAACGGTGGGAAAGAATGGAAGCAGCTGGTGCTATGTCATTAACTGTTGAATAAGGAGTAAAATTGTAGAGTTTTCTTTTTCATTATAACTACTGTATAGTTTTGAACCTTTTGCTGAAGAGGATTGTTCAAAATTTCCGGTTCCCCAAATCTTTTTTTTTTTCTTTTCTGATATTTGAATTAGTACACAGATTGAAAGTGAAATGCTCAGCTGAACATTAGAGTATTGTTTTCATGTTTTGTAATTAAGATGGTGAATAGAAATCATCTTAAGAATTTTGCTGAATGTTGCCATAGTTCTCAAACTCATTTGCTTCTGTCAAATTAATTTACATTCTATGAATGGAGCTCATCCTGCTAAATTTATCTCTTTATTAAATCACGACTTCCACCCATTACAAAAAATAATAACAATAAATAAATAAAATCACGATCTTCATATCTGAGGACTGGACTGCGATACAGAATGTAATAGAAATGCATGAATGCTGAATTTGCTTTAGTAGCCAACGTTGGATCATGTCAAGAACACAGTTCCAGCACTCCAGGCCATACACATAAATCAATTACTAATGGTTTCATCCAGGTTTGTTAAATCATATGTGCCAAGATCAATTCGCGACTTGATTTCCACCGAGAAAATACTCCTTCAAAAACAGAAAAGAGCATAGATGAGACGTTTGTAGCAGTTAATCAGCTTCAGTTGGACAAATCTGCGACACAAGCTTGACCGCTCCCCACATGGGTGCATCATTCTGCAATCAAATAATAACATTATTGTCCAAATCTGCAAGGACGTATTTCTAACTCTTCCACCCCAACCCACTACTATTGGATGGGTCCAAAAAAGGCTGAAAAAGTAATAAGAGGGAGCAAGGGTCTAAGACATTTTTACTTACCGTGTAAACAATATCAAAGGCATTGCAATAGCTGTCATAATTCTTCTTGATGTTATCATTCCTGAAAAGCATTTGTGGGTTGAGTTGTTAGATCAACTTCTGATATAAATTATCGAGAATATCCTTGACTGAATCTCTCTTAATTGAATAGTGACACAATAGCCAAAGATCAAGTAGCAGTTTACTAACTTACAGAAACCCCACAGATATTCGAGTATCATAGTTCAAGCCATCAGACATTCCCAAGTCTCCAATATGATCACCAAAAAGAAGCACATTGGTTCTCTTTTTCACTGAGGCATTGTCATTGACAGCTCCATCAGTATCACCCAACTGGTCATGAAGAGGAGCGGCCATATCAAGAGCATGTTCATTTTTGTTTAGACTATGAATTGTCTTCCCTGTAAAGGTACCCGGCCAACCAATTTATTGCCAAAATAAAACAACTACCAGTTAATAAACAGATACAGACTAGTCTTCTAAATGTTAACAGCTAAAGGTCAGGATACAGTTTCATAAAACATCCTGGTATGTACACAGAGGCAAACTATGAACAAATAATCTTGTTAAACACCAGGATAACTGCAGCGTTATGTTGAAGAACTAAGACCATATGTTAACATACCATGACTTCTAATTAACAGAACTAGTTTAAGCTACAAAGGGTTAAACTGAAGGATACCTTTGAAAGACACAAGACGACCATTTTCATCAAACAGCATCCGATTTGAAACAATTTTAATGTTTTTAAAAGTTCTGTGAACTTTCTGCCTGAGGACCTGTATTGCAAGAAGAAACATGGTGCATAAGAAGGCACAGATTAGATTAGACCAAAAAGTGAAGTTTTCCTAATATGTTGAATCACAAAGCAAATATTGTTTGCCAGACTAACCTCCTCTATGATATCTGCAAGCCCTGCTGAAAATATAAGAATTGGTACGTCTTTTTCCTGCATATTATTGAGACAAACTGTGAGAGAACATTGCAGTTAATGCCAATGCTGAACCTCAGGTTTTGATATCCTATAGACAATCAGCAACTATATTCCATGTAAGCTACCCTGCCAAAAAGGGTGAGGCAAATTCAATGATCGTGGATTGCTTCAGAAAAGACATCTGATGTTATCTACACCTAGTTCCTTTCAGTGTAAGCTCAAAAACAATAAACACAACTTATCATTGGATCATTTGAAATTATTGCTTAAATTAAAAGCTTATCCACATTAAAGAGGGTTACCTCCAAAACCTCAAAGAGTTCAACAACTCCCTCCCTAAAAGCAATTGTAGCATTAGAAACAGAGTTCTTTATGTCATCATATGTAAGACCTCCTTCAATGAGAAGTGCATGCGTTTTACCCCACCTGCATTCACAGAACCAGGGGCCAGACACCAGAGTTCCTTAACAGATCACTCACAGCAATCTGAGATTACCATCACATGCTCCTAACCTAGGCAAGTTAAGCTGTCACTGAAGTGAATTGCATACCATTCTTCCATAAGCTTGGTTTTCTCTTCAATTGGTATTGTAGGAGAGAATTCTAATGGATGATAATAGTAATATAAAGCTTCCCTCTTGGCATCATACTCTGGATTCTCTTGCTGCAAAAGCCCATGACTGCCTATATATATTATTAGACCAAAATCAGGGAAAAAAAAAAAGGAACAAAAAAAATCAATTCTTTTGAAGAAAAAAATCTTAAGCACACAATCAAAACATACTTTGCCCCCGACGGCCATCGATCCAGTACCTCGTCAATGTCGCATCAAAATCTGCAATTACCTGATACCCACCAAAACACAGTCAAGAAGAGCCACGAAGAGAGTGTCGATGTCGAAGAAAAACCAGAAACTGAAATCCCAAGAGAAAGAATTTTTTTTTTTTTTTTAAAGGCGAAGAACCTGGAGTTTGGAAGGACCGGCGCTACGAATGGCAGCGATTTTCTGGTCCAGTAACTGGGGATCGCCAATTACTGTGAGCTTAGAGAGTTGATGCTCGCGCTCTTCCATTTCGCTTCTCCGGCGGCAATAGGTCAAGCGGACGAAGTAATGTCTGCGAACGGCCGGGCAGCGGGTAGTGATGACGGAGAGGCTTCGGAGGCAACGACTCATGGGAAGAAGAAGCGGTGCTTGAGACTAAAAGTAGATATTTATTTATTTTTATATGGGATTATTGAAAAAGCAGAAGCATTTGTCAGTTCCAACGCTTTAAAAAAATCCTAGTCGCAGCTCTAAATATCTCAGTAATGAATATTTTCAAAATTTAAACATTACAATTGGGTATGTTGACGTAGATAATATATGTTAAATTTTAAGTTAATTTAATATTTATAATTATTTAATAAAAATTTTTATATTTTTATATATATTTAATAAAAAATTTTATATTTTTATATATATTTAATAAAAATAAATTTTTTATAATTAATTAATTAATTACATATAAGGTTTTTTTATTTTATATCTTTAGAGATAGGATAAAGGTGTCAACGACTTAAATAGTTAAATAGTAATTATTTTTTAATGAAAATAAAAAATTTTAATTTCAAATCGCATAACATGTAGATAGGTTGAAACAAAAGATGTGAGATAATAGTTGCACAATCAATATAAAAAAAAGAAAAAAATAAAATAAAGGTATATTTATTATATTTTTTTTATTATTAATGCATATTACAATATATATATATATATTTTTTATGTTGGTTGTATAACGGGAAGTAATCTTCTCATATCTCTTATTCCACCTCATATGTATATTATATAATTCAAATTCAATACTTTTTACTTCCAATGAAAGCAATTACTATTAAATTATTTAAGTCGTTAGTTACTATAATACTATAACTAATTTATAATTTTATATAATATTTAATTAAATATAATGTAATATTAAACAAGTAAATACATATAATATCATAAATAGATCCATAAATAAAAAGAATTAATTATATAATAAAATAACATATTATATATTTATAATATCACATAATATTATATTTTTAGCCTTTTTGTGACACATAAAATAAAATTAAAAGTTAACATTAGTTTTATTAATTATTTAATAAAAAATATTTAAGTATCATAAATATTAAAATTAATATTAATTTTTTATATAAATTAATACATAAAAATATATTTAAAACTCTCTTAATTTATATTTTTAAAATTCAAGTTAGACAAACTCTATATATATTTAATAAACTTAAAACCTAAATATATATAATTTACATCAATCAAAACACTAAACCTCACTGTTAATTTTTGAAAGTGTTCTTGAAGTTTCGACTTCCATTTTTGCTGAGAGTCCGGTACTTCTGTGCCCTATTTTCATTGAAAAATATATATTTTTATCAATAGTTTCTCTCTCCATTTCGTTTCTTTCCTTCCCTCCTCCGAAGAATGGAAAATTTCTCAACCGAAGACGTGGACGGCGGTTGGTTCCTTTGATTCTTCTTCTAGCTCCATTCCGTTTCTTTCTGTCTTGATTCAAAGAACTCTCTCTAATTATCAGACCGGAAAGTAAACAGAAAGGTGTCCGGCAAAGTCATCACCCTGTTCTGTCACCGGCTATGGACGGGTAAATTGGACCAAAAAAAAAAAAAATGCTGTGGGAACATTGGGTCAGCACAAAATCCCGATGGAACCTGTAACCTATAAAGGCTATTTGTCGACTTCGCCACTGTCATCCTGTACTGCAAGTTTTTGACCGGTAGAGCTGTGATGTGAAGCTGTTCGATGAAATTCCTAATAGATATTCGATTTTTGAGTGCTGTGATATATAGGATAGTGAGATCTAATTTTTGGGTGGTAGTTGGTTATTGTAGTTGGCTGGAGGAAGAAGGTGAAGAAAGAGACTTTCTTTTGTTGAGAGTGGAGAAACACCTGTTTGCTTAGGTAGCAGTGGATACCAACTTACCAGGTAACAGCTTCATTGTGAATGGAATGATGTTTTACTTGCTGTTAGGAAACCAAGTTTGCTGCTACTTCCGTAGTTACTAATAAAATGATGGCAAGACAAGCAAATTCATTTTTTCTTGAAGTGTGGTTGAGGACTAATAGTGGAGGTAGTAGTGGCCCTGTTCTGGAAGGGAATTCTTCTTCTTCTTCTTCTTCTTCTTCTGCTTGGGTAATCATTCAAGCATGGTCTGAGCTCATAGAATATAGAAGAATGGTTGTCAGCTGGGGATACATGATGGTTCTTCTCTAAAGGTTGATTGTGCATTTGTATGGAAGAACTGGCAAGGGGGGTCAGATCCCTGTAAAGAGTTACAGGTGAAGTACTTACCTGTTTATTCCACTTCTCATTTGTTTCTTCTTTGCCACTTCAGTTGGAATCTTATGATGATATGTTCTTAAGAATCAAACTATGTTTTTCTTATACATTGGATTTGGAAATCTGAAATTCTTATGTTAGATATTGTGGAAACAAATTTAGTCACTAGCTAGTAACCTAGCCAGTTGTTAATGTATTTCATAGTCAAGTCAAATATGTATTTTGATGAATCAGAAATGGTTCCAAAAGCAATAAAAAACATGCAATTACCTGTAAAATTAATTAACATGGATTCAATATAGACATCATCTTTATTTACAACTTAACCTTTATACATATACCTGAAAGAATAAACCCTTGACAATTACTTAGCAGGTTAAGGCTAATCTGTTTCCTATAAACGTCAAGAGAAATCTTGGATTGAAGTTCATAGCCAAGATAAGGACTATGTAGAGTGGCATTACCAAAATTTGTGAAAGTCCTCAGATTGCCAGATAATAATAAACAGGGAGTTCCTGAAGAAATAAAAATAGCAGAAAGATTAATGAGCAAAAAAATTGGAAAATTGTATTAACAATTAATAATCTTAGTTTGATCACCATTCAACAAAAATTATTGTACCAGTTGAATTGCTGCTGTAGAAGGATATTGATCTATTTCCATTCTTGTAGCACCCATTAATGAAGCTGAAGCTGTCATCGGAGTTGCAGAGGTATTCTGTTCTGGCCGGATAAGTAATGGAAACAAGCCCTTGCACATTTTCTTCCCCAACCGTCTTGTTTTCCCTCGCCAATGTTTCATGGTAACTTTTACCAAACCCTGGAAGACGGTCGGCAGTATAGCTTCAACTTTCCGCTTGATCGGCAGTCTAACTTTAACCGCCTCAACAATTACCACTTGCAGAAGAGACAAAGCCCTTTCTACCACCAGGAACAGCGGGCTGCTCAAGCAACGCTCAACCTGCTGTAACACCGGCGCTATGCAGCGCTGAAACCCGGCCGGTTTCGCCCACTGAAAAACCCCCGCCACCGCATCCAAAAAGATGCACTCTCTTGGATCGTCTGCCGTTAAGGGCCAGCTGCTTAGTATGCCCAGGATGACCCTATCAGCAATCTTCTGGTCCTTCTTCACGAATTCTACAATGCAGCCTATTAATTGCGGATAGAACATAAGAACCCACTTCGATCGGAACAGAGGAACCAGAGCTCGCAACGGAAACTGACCGGAGGCGCCGAACTCTTCGTCTATTCTGGAACGGTCCAAATCTTTCACGATACCTCCCAAGAAAAACAACAGTTGCGGAATTCCATTGTGCTTCGCTGAATTTTTGTCATTAACTCGCCGGATTATGTCGAACACTCTGTTTCTGATGAACTTCCGATGATCTGTAAACTTGTTGTAGATGCAGGTGAGCAAAGTTTCCAAAGCCCCACGTTCCCTCTCGTCCTCGGAATGGAACAGACCCAGCAACTTCTCCACGAACGACCGTCGGATAAAAACTCTTGCTGATCTCGGGTCCGTCTTATGCGTGACCACCAATTTGATGAGAAACCTATACGCCGATTCCAGGCAGGGCCATTCCGGATACTCAAACCATGAGAGCACAACCTCACGCTTCTTAACACACAATCCCACCGGCGCCAAATCAATGTAGTGGTCGACGGAGAATACCGGTAGGGTTCTGAACAGAGTCGACGACACAAAGTCGACGCTTTCACGGACGAATTGGGGGGAGAACTTCCGATTGAGCAAGCGGGAGTAGGAAAACTGAGCGATGAGCTCTGAGACGGAGGTGCACTTGATCTTCTTGGTCACTGGGTCGGTGCCAGTGGAGGTCCGGCCGTCGTTTTTTCGTTTTCTTGGGCTCAAAGTAAACATGGCGATGACCAGAGAATCAGTAACGAGTAAGGAGTGAGTGAGGGTGTAGATGAGACGGCGTATAAATAGGGGGATTAGGTCGGTGGATCTATTAGATAATTAAATTTATAATTTGGTACTGGAGTGATTACAGGTTTTGTAAAACGGCAAACGTGCAAATGAGTCCCTGAACTTGCAAGTTATGGAAAATCAGTCCTTTTACTTTTTTTTTAAATATAAATATTAGAAGATCAAAAGTCATCAGACCTTCAAATCCGCAACAACACCAAATCTCCAATTTTTAACGGTTAATGCCAGTATGGGATTATTTTGACCAGTTATTTTTGAGGTGAAATTATCAAATTTCTAATTTTTCCTCAAAACTTAGCTAAGTTTAGTTGACATGATTGGTTTTTAGTGGACTAAGAGAGGAAATGGGTTTAAAATCTTGTGTGACATTAACCAGTATTAACCTCTAAACAAAAATATAAGAATTAACATAAAAAGAAAAAAAAATTAAAAAACATATATTAGAAAACCCTAATTTGAATTTATGCGATGATAAGTTATAAAAAAAAAATTTCTTATGTGAAGAAGTTGAGTTTTGACCTCGTTGGGATCCATTAAAACAGCCACATTAACTGAATTCAAGTAAGTTTCGAGGGTAAAATAGTAATTTTATTCCAAAATTAGCTGGTCAAATGGTTTGTTGACTTCGTTGTGACTAAAAATAGGGGGATTTTCCCTGTTTGAGAAAATAAAGGGCTGATCTGAATCGTCCACAACGGTTTTTGTTTAGGGGCTGATTTGCACCCCTTTTCAACCTGCCTTGTAATTCACCCCTAAAAAACACTTAGAAAAAAAAAACCAAAAAAAAAAAAGAAAAAGAAAAAAAGAAGACGCCTCAGAACCGTCCATGAATCTAAAGCCTAACCAGGCATTTCATTAACTAAAGAACTGAGAAAGCTCCCAATTTTACATGGTTGATTCCACACTCTGTTTCAATGAAAGACAATAGAATTGGAAGAATTTATAGCATCCAGTCAACAAAAAAGTAAGAGGAAAAAAATCAGTTGTTCCAAATTTCCAATATGAAATCAGAACACAAAATTACTCTCTTTCGTTATCCTTTTTAGCAACAGTAAGGGTAGACAATCAAACGGACCATTCTCATTGCATGTAGGACATGGGCTCGTCTACTTTCTCTATTCTTGCATTGCATTCCACTCCGTTCCAGTTTCTCTTGCTCAATTCTTGCCTGCCTCTCTGCTTCACTCATTCTCATATTCTCCTTCACCGCCTGCTCTAAGGTAACGAGTAGGTTTGGATCGAAGAGGCTGCAGGAATTCAGGTCCGGCACCGGAGTATGACATATTGATCTCTGACACGGGTTTCCGCTTTCCTTCATCAAGAACTGCTGTATTTCTCTTCAACGATGGCCTGATGCTCTCTTTATCTTCAACACCTTCATCCAAACCCATTTCTTCTTCTTCTTCCTCTTCTTCATCCTCAAGATCTAGCAGAAACTCCGTTCCGTTAATGATTTCGGGCTCTTGAATCACCACCCACCCTGTTCTCTCTGTTTTTCTTTTCTTGGATCTGGAATCTTGGGACAAGAATGGACGAACCTATCAATGTCAAATTCCTGAAGAACTCAATCTGGCTTTAGTTAACCGATGGGCTTGATTGATTCCAGCTTCTTCAACAAATTTCCTTCACTCCCTTCGTCTTCCTTTTTTCAACAAATTACCTGCTAAAATCGAATCTGGGTTAAGGATTGAAATGCAGGAATTTTAATTTTGAAAAGAAAAGGTTTGATTTTTAAGATGAGAGAAAAAAAGAAAAGAAAAAGAAAAAGAAAAGGTGAGTTTTTCCTCTGGTTCCTGCACTAGAGAGAAAGAGAACCCTAAGTTCAACAGTTAGAAAACGGATACTTTTAAAACTCAAAAGCATAATGGAATAGTTGGCGTGCCCCCATTAAATCAATCATAAATTCACAATACCTTTTCATTGCACTTCCCTTCAAAACATTGCTATTAATGGAGAGCATTACCATTTATGGTATATCCTCTTCCGCCTCTTCATTATCCTTCCCAATCTTCCATTTTCTCTCAAACACTAGTAACTGTTGAACATTGATAATTTGACCTTCTCTGCCTCTCCCTCTCCCTGCAATTCATCCATCCAATTTAATAGCAATGGTTTTGCTGCGATCGTATCATTTGAGTTGGTTCATTGTCATGGCATTATGGGGTTTGTTCATCAGTCCCACCTCCACCGGTATGCAATACCTTGTTGGAGACACGGCCTGGTCCATCCCATCTTCCCCGACTTACTACAACAATTGGTCTTCTTCCATCCTCCTTTTCGTTGGCGACTCTCTTTGTAAAATATTCTACACATTCATTTCATCATTTGTGTGTAATCCAATCATCCATAAATTTTTATCCCAAAAAAAAAAAAAACAGATGCATGGAAAACAAAATCATCTATAATTTTGATTCCGAGAATCTGAATGTTTAATAATTTTTTGTTAAATGATTTTCAGTGTTCAAGTTTGAATCTGAATTCCACAATGTGATGCAAGTTACAAGACTAGACTACGAGAGCTGCACAACCAAAAATCCCATCAACTCCCTAATTTCTGGTCCAGCAATTGTATCATTGATGGAACCAGGAGTCTTCTACTTTATTTGCAATGTCTCTAACTACTGTGATCTAGGGCAAAAAGTTTGCATCACCGTGCACAAGCAGTCTGCAAGTACTACTCTTTCCCCTGCTCCATCACCGGTGCCATCTGGTAATTCTTCAGCACCTTCTACACTATATTCACCACCATTTCGGCCATTGGAACCACCATATGCTACAATAGGAAGTCCATCAATGCCGTCCAATCATAACAATTCTTCAGAGGCTCCAGCTAGCGTGGCTGTTGGTTCCACCGGCATGCTATTTATGTGGGATTCAATGTCTCACTTCTGGATATTCCTCTTAGTGGGTATGATCTTGTAGAAACCCTGTTAAGAGATAAAACTAATTAAGAGTATGAGATTTCTAGTTAAAAATTTCAAATTCAAATTTTGAATCGGATGAAAAGGTATTAAGAAAAAAGAGAGGGTATCACTTTATATATAATCAATTATCAGATGTTCAAAAAAATGATCATGTAGAAACTTTAATTTGGGGCATCCATCTACAGGTTTATATTATTCATAATATAAATCAAATTAATAGGAACAGATTACATGAACAACTTCTAATTACTAACTTCCTGTCTGTTATTTTTAGGAAAATTACTCCATTCCATTCTTTCCGCCGCCGTTCTTCCAATGGTATTCATCTGTCTTCTCTTGTCAAAACCAACCATTCCATTCCTGCTTCATGATCCTCTTCACAGAACACAGGATCGACTTTCATCAATGCCATGCTTTTGATGAGGGATACTAGCAACGCATTCCACAAAGCCAGCACGCAGCTGTTGTCTGTTGAAGTCACCAGATTTCTTCGCCACACCAGGAAAACACTCCACCGCGTCCGAGGAAAAGTACTCCCTTGAACTCCCCTGAACTCCCCTGTTTTGGCCAGTATCGCAGCCTTGGACATCGTATGCTTCGTGAAAGTCAAGATTGTCTTGTCGTCGGCGCTGTGGCGGAGGGTCTGAACGGTGGCGCAGAGGTGATTGAGGCGGGTGACAAGTGGTAAGAGAAGGACATTTCGTCCACCTCTCTTTCTCCCTGTCCACATCGCTACTTGAGATTTTGATTTTGGTAGGTCGTATTTATATAAAGGGTTTTAATTTTTCTCTCTTTTTATATCAATTATGAAGTTTCCACATTCACAAAACATAAAGTACACATTATATAATGGGTTGATATAATTAATATGATATAGGATAAGAGCGATATAATTAATATGATATTATAACATATCACAAAGTTATTATAATGATTCATAATCAAAATTTAAGAGCTTGGTACACTTAAATCGATCATTTTATCATTTAAGTGAAGTTTAGAAGTAGAAATTATTTAAGAAAGCAAAGACCAAATTGTTTTTCTCTTTAATTAATTTAAAAAGTATTTATCTACAAACCATACAAACATAAATCCGTTAACCATAGAAAATATGGCATTTCTTTTCCATATTTGCTGCATCACTCCATCTCTATTTTGTGGGTATGTTGTTTCTTAGGTTGGGAAAAAAGTAAGAGGGAGGAGAGACAAATAGCTTACATTAATGATAAATGT